ACATAAAGCAACAGAAACTGACACTAATACTACTCCATTGTCTTGAGATCACTTGCGACTTCAAACTTCGCATCCGTCTTCGCCTTGATATCCTCAACACTAACTCCCGGCGCCGTCTCCGTCAGCGTCAAGGTCCCCCTCTTCCTATTTACTTCAAAGACACACAGATCGGTAATGATAGTGCTCACGCACTTTGCTCCTGTAAGCGGCAATTTGCACTCCTGGACAATCTTGCTGGAGCCGTCCTTGGCAACGTGTTCAGTCGCGACGACGACTTTTGTAGCGTCGGGATTGCTGACGAGATCCATGGCGCCGCCCATGCCCTTGAAGACTTTACCCGGCACCATGTAGTTGGCCAGGTCGCCAGAGGCACTGACTTGTAGAGCTCCAAGGATAGACACGTCGACGTGGCCGCCGCGGATCATACCAAAGGATTCGGCGCTGTCAAAGGTTGAGGCGCCGGGGAGGAGAGTGACGGTTTCTTTGCCGGCGTTGACGATGTCTGCATCTACCTCTTCTTCTGTAGGATAGGGGCCCATACCTAAAATTCCATTTTCGGACTGCAGCCACACCTTGACGCCATCGGGTACGAATGATGCTGCGGCTGTGGGAATGCCGACGCCTAGGTTGACGTAGTATCCCTGCTTGAGCTCCTTTGCTGCGCGACGAGCGATACGATCGCGTCGTTCGGTGGCTTCGTTCTTTGATGAGGCGTCTTTTGAGGCAGCAGGTTTTCGGAGCTTCTTGATTTCAATGTTCTTGGGCGCGGTGGCTGGGACGATACGGTCGACGAAGATGCCAGGGAGATCGACGTCGTTGGCGTCAAAGGTGCCTATAGGGACAATCTCCTCGGCTTCGACGATTGTAAGGCGTGCGGCTTTGGCCATGATGGGTCCAAAAGCTTTGGTGGTGTATCTGCTCATGTGGTCAGTCAGGTTCAAGGCATTGGGATCCCTCAACTCCTACCTGAAAACACAGTTACCAGCTTCATCGGCCTTGTGCGCGCGGATAATGGCGACATCGCCTGTCAATGCAGTCTCCATGAGGAACTTCTTGCCATTGAATTCTCTAACCTCGCGCTTCTGTCCGTAGCCTACAGCTTTACCCTCCTTGTCAAACTTGGCTGGAATCTGGCCATCTTGCAGCAATGTATTTACCGCCGTAGGTGTGTAAAAGGCTGGGATGCCTGCACCACCAGCTCGTATCCTCTCTGCAAGCGTACCTTGCGGACAGAGCTCAATCTCAATGCCGCCGCTCAGATACTGCTTCTCAAGCGCCTTGTTGTTACCGAGGAAACTTATAATGAGCTTCTTGACTTGTCCGTTCTTTGTAAGATGTGCCAATCCTCCTACGTCTTCAATGCCAGCATTGTTTGAGACGGCTGTCAACGAATGTAATGACTCGGGCCCACGTTTTTTCATCGCTGCGATCAGAGTCTCTGCGACACCACACAACCCGAATCCTGCGCTCAGAACGGTGGACCCAGGCTGTACATCGGCAACTGCTTCGTCTGCATCTTTGAAGAGCTTCGATTTCGAGCGGTCAATTGTCGGCGCGCGCTCACTGATGCAGCGCAATTGACCTGTAAGCCGCCATCGTGGTGGCAGAGTTCGCGCAGCTCGCAATTGTGGAGGAACAGATCGCCGGGCGCATAGCCGTGAGGGAAGAGCTGTGAGCAGCCGGCAGGAAGCAGGCAGGGTATCCATTGTGAAGTAAATTACAGACGTATTAACAGCGTGAACAGCCTAGTTAAATCATTTGAGAAAGAGTTTCAACAAATGCCGACTCATCCAAGCGGGCGACGATTTCGCAGTCGAGCTCCGAACATGGGTCCTGGGGCGCGTGCGACAATGGCATTGCAACTCTAACGTCATGCATCTCTGGATCCGTCGGTGCCAGTTCAAGTGCCGAACGGCGAGCGACCTTGGAGCTTGGAGCGGGGCTTTGTCTGCCGCCTCGGTCGGATGAGGTTTAGGCGCGCTGCCGTCCTCCTGGCGAAGCCCGAGGTTCATCCACTCTCTGCGTCCACACACTAGGTCGCTCGCTAGTCACACGAGCAAGACCAGCCGTCCCGTAATGCGGAGAGTCGATACACATCTCTGCCGTGCCATCAGGGAAAGTTGAAGTCCGGAAGATTCATCCAGTCTGTCCATAGCGGGTTGGAGTCGTTCCACGGCAGATCGAGCAATGCTGTAGAGAATAGATCCGAGTTCGTAACAGTCTCATTGACCTCATTATAGGACATTGCAGAGAAATCTAACCTGTCCGGCCAGTAGCCGCCTACTGGATCGTGCTCCAAGGGCTGGTTGTTAGGGTTCGACATCTCATTGTGCATCATGTTCGAGGGCGAAAGGAGATCCGGTATGGCCATTGAGGTTGGTGCAGGCTCCTGAGGAGGTACGGGCGGTGGCATCTCAATGTCAGGCGCCTGCTTAACTAAAACGCGCAAAAATCTACCATACACGACTGATGCGCCGTTCCGGTGGATAGGTGTACTGCCAATGCGCTCCAGGACAGTTGCCGTATCCTCTATCAGGTGCCGCACGCTCGGAGCAAGGCTCTTTTTGTTGCCACTCCCCTCAGGCACCGGCGCGCTTAGAGCGAGCGCTATGCTGGCTGCAAAGCAAATCATCGTAACGGTGTTGTTGGGCATGGACTTGAGACGCGCCTCGCCTTGGATTGCTGCGCGCATGACATTGAGCGCCGAGGATAACGCAGACTTGCGAAACGAGCGCTTGACTTCTGGCGGCGCGCTCGGATGGTTCAGAAGCATTGAGTAGGTCGAGAGTCGTGTGTGCGTGACGAGTATCTCAACATAAGGGGGTAGGCTCTTGCTCTCTGGGTCACTTATAACTGAAGGCCATGCCTGAGACCAATTGTCGAAGAAGCCCTCAATGGACTTGTCGATTTCCTGCGCAACCTGGGAACCTACTTCGGCCGAGCCATAGTTGTCACATCGCGTGCGGACTTCGGCAAAAAGGTTGTCCAGATCGCGACGCAATACTGCCATGGATACCAGTGGACCGTCTTGGGCATCTGAGTGCTGGTGGTTATGCCATTTATCGCTGTACTGAATCAAGCAGGTCTTTGGTACACAATAGCTGCGGCCACGAGCGAGGCACACACCGCGCTCTAGCACAAACAGCGCAATCCATACCCTTTCTCTCCGACGAAGCAGTCGCTGACCCCATTCGGAAGTCGGGTCAACGTCCTCGAAACCATCCATGGCTAGTGCTTTTCTTGCGTCAAGACACTCTGCTTTGGGCATTTGCCTCGTGAGCTCCGGACCAAAGGATGTAGACGGAGTGATGACTTTGTCTAACATGAGATCCAAGGAAATGGACAATGCCGTAGCTAGATAGAGACTTGTGTCGTCGTCACTTGCATGCGACCCTGGGGGCATCCACGGTATGCTTACCATGAATGCCAAGACGATTTCAACAGATCTGTACTTTCGAACAATGACCTGTTCAGCTAGGAACCTGCGGTGAAGAAGTAGTCTTTTGGCCAAAGCAGACGTTTCTGGTAAGAAGACAGCGGTCACAGCCAGCAACGTCGTAAATAGAAAGGCTGAGCGGTTTCGGACAAAAGGTAGAGTATGCACCACTGGGTCTAGACCCCAGCGCGTGTGGGCTAGTCTTTTGTGGAAACTGCGTCTTGTCAGCTACTGAATGGAATTCTTCTGGCAGTACGTACTATTGGAGGAGCATCTCTGCTTCATCTTTGGTAACCAATCCTACGTCAATTGGATCCAACCCTGATCCTTGGTCCAAATGCGCCTTCATTGGTAAGAAGAAGTGATGAACATCGAGGAATGCACTTTGCTCGCTACCAGTAAACCTGCCTTCTGGGCTGGCGACACTTGTATTGTACGACTGTGGCGTGGTGGCAATTCTCAAGTCTGACGCGCGGGCTAGGAGCTGAAGCGGATTCTCTACATCTTCAACGGCAAGCTGATCATCGCTTGAAGTACAAGCAACTTCTTTTGCTGGCACGTAGGAGGATTCCGTTAGTACTGGTGGTGATTTTGCATCTTGACTAGGGCCATCGTCTCCCTGTGCTTCGTTCAAAAGCTGTTGCAAGTGCTGTAGCGTGCTTTGATTGGCAACTACGTCTGATTTTCTCTTCTTGATTGCTTCTTCTACTTGGTAGATTGCCTTCTCCAACCCGGATCGTTTGCTGGAACCTGTAAGCTTAGCTAGTCACACCAGAAAACAAAACTCACTTTTTCACACCCTTTTGCCTACCACTAATTACCGGTATATCAAGTCAGCGCATGTTTCGCAATGGATTTGTATGGAGACGTGACGTACATGTGGAACTCGGGTATAATGCACTCGACGCCTACGCTCGAGCATCTTTCACATACAGAAGCGCCTTCTTCGCGCCTGCATTTGATCTTGCTTTTGCGGCAGTTCAGACATGCCGCTTGCTTGACGTTCATGTCTTGTGTGGTCTCTTGGCGGGCTAAGTGTTAGGAGTTTTGGTTGAGGTGCGGCGCAGATGACAGCAACATGGTAGACGGCCAGCAATGTTGGTCAAGTTAGATGTCTGCAAAGGAACTAGCAGCGACTTGAATGTTGGAGGTACACTGCCGACGGTAGCTTCGGATAATCCGAGTGTGAGGGACATGCTAGCCCGAGACCGGCATTGCGCTAGCTGGACCCTGGCCTGTAACGTGGGAGGGACGAACGGCACAGGTGCAGGCTTCTAGGGCTGCATGTAGCGTGCATCATCTGCATGCACTTGCTCTGCCAAGTCGTCTACTATATAAGTGCAAGTTGCTATTTGTAATGAGAAACTTTGCATTTAAAAATGTATACCTGAGGTATCGGCGTTCCAGACCTCCAAATCTACAGCTACTAAAACAATACAAACGGCGGAGTCGGCTCCGACGAGGTCAAGTGAAAGGCGGCGGCATAAAAGTCAATCGAATCAAAGTACACGGACATACGAGCAATCTACACACGGTCACAGCTATAGCTTACTTTCGTTCTGCTTCAATCGTATAACGCCCTGTTCATGTCAGCACAGTTCACCATGACAGACGGGAGTAAGCCACTTACCTCTTGGACGCAGCTGGCGATGAGCGTGCCATCCTTGGTATACATTCTCTGGGAAACGAGACCACGGCCATCACCAGCCCAAGGGGTCTCCATCTCGGTGAAGATCCATTCGTCTGCGCGGAAGCTGCGAGGGTTGTGGAAGTAGATGGTATGGTCTAGACTAACCATCATGCCAATCTCGGGCTTTGCGTCTTTGCTCTTTGCCAGGTCCTCTGCTTTCCTCAGTTCACGTATGCGCTGCTTATCTGATTCATTGAGAGAGCTTTCGCGCTGGAGCTCGGCGTCATCCATCTCGAGCAGCTTCTTGAGCACGTCCTCGTCGATGCTCGACCTGGCCCTGCTCTTGCGCTGGTTTGAGTAGCGCAGGAGCTTGTGCGCACGTGCGACGGTGCCAATGAAGTAGCTATCGGACATGTATGCGATGGCGGAGAGATGGGCTTCATGACCGCCAGCGGGAGAGATTTTACCGCGAGCCTTGATCCATTGTCGGCATCTTTTGGTATGGGGCTTATCGGAGTCGTCTGCTAGATATGAGCCAGGGCAGGCTAGAGGATGGTATGCGAAATCACTTACCGTTTTCAATGGGCAACAGTTGCGTCTGAAAAGGACTTTGGCCATCGTTGGGCGTCCTTAAGTCGTCACTACCTTCCTTGGGCGCCGGGACGTCTGGCATGGGGTAGATGTGCTCGACCTTTTGGGCGCCTCCACTGTTCTGGCGAACAAAACTCATGGTCGTGGTGAAGATGACGTTGCCCCTTTGCCGGGCCTGCACTGTCCTGGTTGCGAACGACTTTCCCGAGCGCACCCTTTCTACATGGTATATGACGGGTATCTCTGAGTTACCGGCAAGGATGAAGTAGCAGTGCATCGAGTGCACAGTGAAGTCGGGGTCAACCGTCTTCTGGGCGGCGCTGAGTGTCTGGGCAATGGCAGCACCGCCAAAGATACCGCGCGCACCGGGGGGATGCCATAGAGGACGAGTGTTTGTGAAGATGTTGGGATCAATGTCGGCCAGCTGCGTCAGTTCGAGGACGTTCTCAATGGCCGACTGCGAATGGTCGGCGGGCGGGGGGCGGATGAGGGTGGCCATGGTGGTGGCTGGTAGTTTTTTCTGTTTGGGAATTATGTTGTGTTCTGTGAAAAGGAGGTCAGTGTAGCAGGATCAGATGCAAAGCAGCAGCAGCCAGCGGCTGTTTGAGACTTTGGGCGTCGTCATTTCCGGCGCACGTCAAAGCAGCGCAGACGCGCATGAGCCGAGGCACAAGGACCGTCGGCCATGTGGGCACTTGTCGCGCCGACCACGTGACTGGCCGCTGACTAACCCAGATGGCGCCAAGGCGAGGAGCAGGCCGGCTCTGGGGTAGAAACGTCATACTGGGCTTGCCGGGCCCTGCGCAGATGCGTACCTGACTTGGTGTCAGAAGACTACCCACTCTTACATACCTACATGGTCAATGTTTCATCTGTCACCTGCTGTCCGTCCTCGACGCGCGCCCGCCTCTGCATGCCTGGTGCATTGTTCGTACTCGTTCCTCTAGGCGCCTTGTATCTGCATCTTCCCTGCGCCTGCGCCTGTGCTTGTGCCTGTGGAATGTTGCGGCCCGCCGCTGCATAGCCTATCTGTACATACACCACCATCCCATCCCGCTTCACCTGCCTTGCCTCCATCCTCGTGCCACACCTCCGCCGCCCACAACACCATGGCCGCAACCAACCCCGAGCTGCAGGCCAAGCTGCAGGAGCTGGACCACGAGCTTGAGGAGGGCGACATTACACAAAAAGGGTCCGTACCGCTGCACAATCACCGCCGTCCGCCTCATTGCGTGCGCTAATCAGTCGCATAGCTATGAAAAACGCCGCACCGTGCTGCTGTCGCAGTACCTAGGACCCGACTTCGCTGCCCAGTTGCAGGCCGACCTGAACCAGCAAAACCCATCACAGCCAGCCAGCGAGGGCTCTCGCTCCCGCACCGCATCCTTTGCTACTCCGTCCGGTCCGAGCCCATCACAGCGACCACAACCCCCGCATATCCAGCTCCCCCGCCCAGACTCATACCATGACGCTTCCGCACAGGGCCAATTGGGCGCACCTATGCCATATGCGAACGCCTCCGCCGCCGCCTCCGGGGGCTCGCAGTACATGGCCTACCCACCCAGCCAGGTCGGCCGTTTTCAAGAGAAGCAGCTGGGCCTGCGCACAAATTCGCTCCAGCGCAATTCCTCACAGCTGTCGCAAGGGAGCGAGACGTTCATTCCACGGCCTCAAACGCCTGAATACAACCACTCGCGTGAGCCCACCATGATGGGCAACTACGCCTTCAATCCAGACAACCAGCAAAGCTTTGATGGCCAATTTGGTTCTCCGGGAGAGGCCAGTCGAAGAAGCACTATGCTCGAGGTGAACCAGGGCTATTTTTCTGATTTTACAGGCCAGCAGATGCAAGACCATCGCGACTCGTATGGGGGACCCAACCGCTACTCGTCGGGAGATGCCTTTTCTCCTACCGCCGCGATCCCACCCCCCATGATGAACCCCAACGATCTCCCCTTGGGCGCTGCCGAAACCATGATGCCGCTAGAGCCACGCGATCTGCCCTTTGACGTCTACGATCCTCACAACCCCAATATCAAAATGTCAAAGTTTGACAACATTGGCGCTGTCCTGCGCCACCGCAGTCGCACACAGCCAAGGACAACTGCCTTCTGGGTCCTTGACGCAAAAGGCAAAGAGACGGCGTCCATCACCTGGGAAAAGGTGGCTAGTCGCGCGGAAAAGGTGGCCAAAGTGATTCGGGACAAGAGCAATCTTTATCGAGGCGACCGTGTGGCATTAGTGTACAGGGATACAGAAATCATTGATTTTGTTGTGGCGTTGATGGGCTGCTTCATTGCGGGCGTTGTAGCGGTACCCATCAATAGCGTCGACGACTACCAGAAACTCATTCTTCTCCTAACGACAACTCAAGCTCATCTCGCACTGACCACAGACAACAATCTCAAGGCCTTTCATCGTGACATTAGTCAGAACCGTTTGAAATGGCCGAGTGGGGTAGAGTGGTGGAAGACGAACGAGTTTGGCAGTTACCACCCTAAGAAACATGACGATACTCCAGCTTTGCAAGTACCAGAGGTTGCCTACATTGAGTTCTCGCGCGCACCTACTGGTGACCTTCGCGGTGTGGTGCTTAGTCACCGGACTATTATGCATCAAATGGCTTGCATCAGTGCCATGATTAGCACGATACCTACCGACACCCAAAGCCAAGATACATTCAGCACTAGCCTACGGGATGCAGACGGAAAGTTCGTTGCTCCAGCACCGTCCAGAAACCCCACGGAAGTGATCCTTACATACCTTGACCCGCGCGAGAGCGCTGGTCTCATTCTTAGTGTCTTGTTTGCAGTCTATGGCGGCCACACTACCGTATGGCTCGAGACCGCGACCATGGAAACCCCAGGTCTATATGCATATCTCATCACCAAATACAAGGCCAACATACTGCTAGCGGATTACCCGGGACTCAAGCGCGCCGCATACAACTACCAACAAGACCCAATGGCTACAAGAAACTTTAAGAAAAACACAGAACCCCGCTTTGCCCCCGTGAAGATCTGTCTGATTGACACGCTTACTGTGGACTGTGAATTTCATGAGATTCTCGGAGACCGTTATTTCAAGCCTCTGCGAAACACCAGAGGGCGAGAGCTGATTGCGCCAATGCTCTGTTTGCCAGAACATGGTGGAATGATAATATCTGTACGCGACTGGCTGGGAGGAGAGGAGCGCATGGGATGCCCATTAAGCATAGCAGTAGAAGAGTCAGATGATGACGAAGATGACGCAGAGGATAAGTATGCAGCGGCCAATGGCTACTCCAGTCTTATTGGTGGTGGCACCAAAAAGAACAAAAAGGAGAAGGAGAAGAAAGGCCCGACAGAGCTTACAGAAATCTTGCTGGACAAGGAAGCTCTAAAAATGAATGAAGTCATTGTTCTGGCTATTGGAGAAGAGGCAAGCAAGCGTGCAAACGAGGCTGGTACCATGCGAGTCGGTGCCTTTGGATACCCTATACCGGATGCGACACTAGCCATTGTAGACCCCGAGACAAGTCTTCTATGTTCACCATACTCAATAGGCGAGATTTGGGTAGACTCACCTTCGCTATCTGGTGGCTTCTGGCAATTGCAGAAGCATACAGAGACCATTTTCCATGCCAGGCCATACCGTTTCGTTGAGGGTAGCCCCACGCCACAGTTACTTGAACTCGAATTTCTGCGTACTGGACTCCTCGGCTTTGTTGTGGAGGGGAAAATATTCGTCCTCGGACTGTACGAAGATCGCATAAGACAGCGTGTTGAATGGGTAGAAAATGGTCAACTTGAAGCCGAGCATCGATACTTTTTCGTGCAGCACCTGGTCATAAGCATCATGAAAGCCGTGCCAAAGATCTACGACTGGTAAGTGAGCTTCCAGTAACGCAATAACTGTCTAACGTATCATAGCTCATCGTTTGATTCTTACGTAAATGGTGAATACCTGCCAATCATTCTCATTGAGACGCAGGCTGCATCTACTGCGCCCACGAATCCAGGCGGACCACCACAACAATTGGATATACCCTTTTTGGATTCACTATCTGAGAGGTGTATGGAGGTTCTTTACCAGGAACATCATTTACGAGTATACTGTGTGATGATTACAGCACCCAACACACTTCCACGAGTCATCAAGAACGGACGGCGAGAGATTGGCAATATGCTTTGTAGACGAGAGTTTGACAATGGCTCTCTGCCCTGTGTGCACGTAAAGTTTGGCGTTGAGCGATCAGTGCAGAATATTGCGCTCGGTGACGACCCCGCTGGCGGTATGTGGTCATTCGAGGCATCGATGGCACGTCAGCAATTCTTGATGCTCCAAGACAAGCAATACTCGGGTGTCGATCATCGCGAAGTCGTCATCGACGATAGAACATCAACTCCACTCAATCAATTCTCGAATATTCACGACCTGATGCAATGGCGTGTATCTCGGCAGGCCGAGGAACTTGCCTACTGCACAGTCGACGGTCGAGGAAAAGAGGGCAAAGGCGTCAACTGGAAGAAGTTTGATCAAAAGGTTGCGGGCGTAGCAATGTACCTGAAGAACAAGGTCAAGGTCCAGGCCGGTGACCATCTCCTTCTGATGTACACGCATTCAGAAGAATTCGTTTATGCCGTTCATGCATGTTTTGTGCTTGGAGCTGTTTGCATACCAATGGCGCCAATTGATCAAAACCGGTTGAATGAGGATGCGCCGGCTTTGCTGCATATCCTTGCAGACTTCAAGGTCAAAGCCATTCTTGTCAACGCTGACGTTGACCATCTGATGAAGATCAAGCAAGTATCGCAGCACATCAAACAATCGGCCGCTATCCTCAAGATCAGTGTGCCAAACACATACAGCACAACAAAACCGCCAAAGCAATCTAGTGGCTGCCGCGACCTCAAGCTCACAATTCGACCGGCATGGGTTCAGGCAGGCTTCCCAGTGTTGGTCTGGACGTACTGGACGCCCGACCAACGTCGTATCGCAGTCCAGCTGGGCCACAGCCAAATCATGGCACTGTGCAAGGTCCAAAAGGAGACATGCCAAATGACAAGTACACGGCCGGTCCTTGGTTGTGTCCGAAGCACGATAGGACTTGGTTTTCTTCACACCTGTCTCATGGGAATATTCCTTGCCGCACCCACATACCTAGTCTCACCTGTAGACTTTGCACAAAACCCGAATATTCTGTTCCAAACACTTTCGCGGTACAAGATCAAGGATGCATATGCAACGAGTCAAATGTTGGACCACGCCATTGCACGCGGGGCTGGCAAGAGCATGGCTCTACACGAGCTGAAGAATCTCATGATTGCGACTGACGGAAGACCACGCGTTGACGTTTGTAAGTGAACGTTTGTATGAGAGGACTTTCATGATTGCTAACTAGATGCAGATGAAAGAGTGCGTGTGCACTTTGCGCCAGCCAACTTAGACCGAACCGCAATCAACACTGTCTATTCGCATGTGTTGAATCCAATGGTTGCATCACGATCGTACATGTGCATTGAGCCAGTCGAGCTCCATCTCGATGTTCATGCTCTGCGACGTGGCCTTGTCATGCCCGTTGACCCCGACACAGAGCCCAACTCTTTGCTCGTCCAAGACTCGGGCATGGTGCCAGTGAGTACACAAATATCCATTGTCAACCCAGAGACAAACCAGCTGTGCTTGAACGGCGAGTACGGCGAGATCTGGGTGCAGTCCGAGGCGAACGCTTATAGCTTCTACATGTCGAAAGAGCGCTTGGATGCAGAGCGCTTCAACGGTAGAACGATTGACGGAGATCCAAATGTGCGATATGTTCGTACAGGCGATTTGGGATTTTTGCACAGCGTGACACGGCCCATTGGGCCTAACGGTGCGCCTGTTGATATGCAGGTGCTTTTCGTTCTTGGAAGCATAGGCGACACGTTTGAAGTCAATGGATTGAATCATTTCTCTATGGACATTGAGCAGTCTGTCGAACGTTGTCACCGGAACATTGTCCCTGGAGGCTGGTACGTTTCTTTAGTTCGTTATTACCTGGTAAATATTCACTAACACTTCACAGTGCTGTTTTCCAAGCAGGTGGGCTTGTTGTTGTCGTTGTGGAAATCTTCCGACGCAACTTTCTCGCCAGCATGGTGCCGGTGATTGTCAATGCAATTTTGAACGAGCATCAGCTGGTTATTGACATTGTCTCGTTCGTGCAAAAGGGCGACTTCCACCGGTCTCGTCTGGGCGAGAAGCAACGCGGAAAGATTCTCGCAGGATGGGTCACGCGGAAGATGCGCACAATAGCCCAGTACAGCATACGGGATCCTAATGGACAGGATTCTCAGATGATGATCACGGAAGAGCCTGGTCCACGGGCTAGCATGAGTGGAAGTATGCTTGGGCGAATGGGCGGCCCGGCAAGTATCAAGGCCGGGTCGACAAGAGCCCCGAGTCTCATGGGCATGACGGCGAGTATGAACAATCTATCTCTTGCACATCAGCAGCAACAATACCAACAGCCCGGTATGTACGCCCAACAGCAAGGCATGCACCCCCAGCAACAACACCAATTTAGCATGTCCAACACGCCACCACAAGGTCCACCACAAGGCGTAGAACTGCATGATCCCAGTGACCGTACGCCAACAGACAACCGGCACTCTTTCCTTGCCGACCCGCGCATGCAAAACCAAGGCCAAATGAACGAGATGGGCGCCTACGAACCCATGAACTATCAAAACGCATATCATCCGCATCAACAACAATACGAATCTGAAGACGGGGGCAGCGGACTCAGCGGCCCCGTGCCAAATGTGCTGCGGCCGGGTCCTTCATCCGGGTCCGTAGACGACCACGACCAAGCTAACAACAACAACAATATGTGGAACAACCGCGAGTACTATGGCGACACCCCGTCATATGCAGGAGGATATCATGAAGACGGCAATATTCATGAGCAACTACAACACAACGAGTACGCGAGTAATGCGTCATATGGCGGAAATCAAGGCCAAGCCCCAGGTGCAGGCGGAGGGGGCGGCGGTGGTGGTCTCCGAGTAGCAAATCGTGATAGCACTGACAGCGAGGGCGCAGATGACGACGCTTGGAGACGCGATGCCCTTGCTCAGATCAATTTTGCGGGCGGCGCTGCTGCTACTTCCGCTGGAACACCAGCTGGTGGAGCTTCTTCTTCACAGCCGGGCCATGCGCAGTAGACGACACTTGTTTTAATTTCGTATATAGAGACCGGTGTATAACGCAGGTTTCAAATTAGAAGAACATACCCATATCAGCTGTTGTTTAAAAAAATGTTTTATTTTGGGTTTCTTCTTGTGGGTGATTGGATCGGGAGATTTCAAATGTACATCTCGCTATTCATAGGTGATGTTTCATAATGTAGGGGGGAAGGAAAGGCTTGGAGGACATTCTTGTGATATTGGACTAGGAGTGTGCCATGAATCAAGGTCTTGAGCAACGAGAGAAAGCGGTGAAGGGCGGGGGGGAAATAGGTGGTGTGCACGTAGCTAGGCGTATAGCCAAAAAAAAGCCAAGGAATGATGACACGGGACGGCACACAAACACCTTGGTGGATACGAAACATGACAACGCCCCTCAGTCAGCAGAGTGTGGTTCGAAAGCGTACATACATACGGACGTATGTAGTCATGTTATCCCATTGCCACTGCATCCTTCTCTCATGACACTAACGTGACCGGACGAGATAGGTTGTCTCTGCCGCAACCAATATCTACGCATCTCATGATAGTTTAAGCGCCAAGTCAATTGTGCAGTTCCTACGTTTCAGCCGCGAACCAGGCGAACGGGATAAGGGAGGGAGAACCCGTCTTGAATTAATATTTCTTCCTAGGCAATAAGATCTAGAATCTTCGGAAGAAGGTCGCCCAACGGTCGGCGGCAAGGATCTAGTAGTATGAGGCGAACGAGGGATTTGCAAACAAGATTGAAGAAAGAGGCGGAGAAGGAGAAAAAAAATATTGAAAGCACATATGGGGTTTACCAAGACGGGATGTATATTAGTATCAATCTTGTTTTGTTGGTTAGTTGCTTGTGATTTTGACAATTGGCTTGGCAATCTACACACGACAGCATAACAAGCTGAAGGGCAAAAAAGCTTGATGGGTGTCTGTATACGGTGTAGAGATTGCAAACGTGTTTCATGTAGGGAAGGTTCCTCCAGGCGGTTGGATGCCAAGAACGGAGATTGGTGGAGCTGAAGTTAGTGGTTTCATGTGGAAAACAGGCCCGGGGAGAGTCGGTGGGCTTTTTTAGGTTCTTTCCTTGCAGAAATCAGTTAGCGAAGGGCGAGAGCGGGCCAGATTTTTGGGTCGGTCGGTTCAGCGACTGACTGGGACTCCAACGGGTGTCACTGCGGATACGTATCATTTGATCGTGGGGACCTGAGAGGGCTGTGTGGCTTGGAGTTTTCTCGGCAAGCTCATACGCTCGGTCCCAGACCGAGTGATTGTCCAGATCGTGGTCTCGCATCGGGGGATCAATGCTGGCACAGGCGTATGTACAGTGAATTGGAGCTTCGTTTTGTGCGCTATGGAGTGGGGTGGAGGGAGATGGCGGTGACAATGACGATGGTGGTGATGTCGCAGCTGACAAGGATTCTGCCGTAATTGTAAGATATTAAAGCCGGCATGTGGACAATGCTTACGTCGTGTACACAAGAGCATACGCTACAATAAGCGTTGTGTTAGATTCGGAGTGAGGATGCCGTTGGGCGTGGAAGCGTGTCGCTGTCAATGTGTTACACCAAACGATAGCGCATGGCGGAGGAAGCGCCACACTCTAAAACCATGCATTGAAGAGCCCAGAAGTGAGCGGGTCCCGAGGTTTGGCGGAAATGACATGGGTGGAACCGCAATGTGAAGGATTCGACGACTATACCGATTTTTCCAGTCACTGCGTCGAATTTTGGCCAACGTCGACGAGCTGAAGCGTGGCTTGTGAAGGATTACCAGAAGCGTTATGCCGCCTGGCAGGGTACACGCTATTGTTTGACAGCGGGTGGGGTCCAAGCAGGCGGCGCATGAACAAATGTTTCAACGTTATCGTGAAGTGAGCCGAGTCACGGCAGAAGGAGAGCGACACTCCGGCGCTGGTGTTTTGAAACTGGCTCACGCCGAAGCAGCACCACGGTCAAGCGATGCAGTTGAGGCAAGCGTCGCAGGCGAGATGCAATGGCAGCATGGATGCAGCCAGACGGGCAGAGGAGCGGACAGTCAGCAATACAGGACTTGTGTTTGCTTTGTTTTGTTTGGGGTATGGGTGTGGGTGTGCGAGGATGAGCTAGATTGTAGCTAGGATGGAGGTAATCTTGTAGGTTTATTGCCTAGAAGACTTGGTATTCCGAGGTTGAGTGGCAGAAGCAAATAGGTCGGACCCGATTGCCGGGTAAACAAGGGCTGGGAAGAGGAGGGCACCGAGGGACAATTTCCCCCAGGTTGGCCATGCGTGGCCGTCGAGAAGGGCTATTCATGAAAAGAGGACGTTGGTCCGTCTCGACCCGCCGGCCAGTGTGGCGGCGAAGGGGGCGTGGGTGAGCCGACAGAGACAGCAATGGGTTGTGACAAGCACGTGCGGGTGGGGGGCGACCGTGCCGCTGCGAACCAAGCGCGCGCATTGGTTGACTGTGGTGTGCATGAAGAGCGTATACTTACACTAGCAGGCAGAGAATGCAGCGCCGTAGGGTAGAAGGCGTAGGGTGGCGACAGCGGCGGCCTCGTGGCAAGTAGGGACGAGGGCTGTTGAGTGGTGAGGGTATGCTAGTATGCTAGTCGCTGCTACTACGTAGGCGTGGCCGTGTAGGTACGTGGCGCAGACTGCTGGCTTGGTTGCTGGCCTGCTGGTCTGCTGGCCGGTTAGCTGGCCTGGCAGCTCTCTTGCACAGGGCAAATGCATCGTGTCGTGCCCAGCGCCGGCTCTCGGCCTTGGTAGTGCACTAGGCGTGTGAATAGCTGTCAGCACGCCCGCTGGCGGTTCGCGCCATGGTGGAGATTTTCTACGCGACATGGACGACGACGGCCTCGGCAGCGTGAGGAACATGTCAAAATGAACCCAGGGGTGCATCAAAGCCGTTTTACCTGAACAGATGAGTGCGATCTCCGCCAGGATATGTGATGAAGTTGACTCGCTTGGACGACGGTTTTGGTGTTGGCCTCGAGGCTAGAGCCGCACATGTCATCGGCCGGGCATGGCGTCGGGGCCTGCACAGTTCCTGCAGAAGAGGGCGCGAAAGAGGGATGAGACAGACGGGTGTGGCGGGTGATAGTGCGTGTGAGAGGGAAAGAGAGTTGGAGAGAGGGAACCATGGTGTTTGATGGAGTCGTCGCGCGTCGCGCATTGCCCGTCGGCCCATCATGGCATCGTCATTGTCATTGTCATCATCATCGTCATCGGTATGGTCAGTAGCAATCATAATCATTCTCATGGCCGTGTTGGCCGTGGGCAGTTAGTGCCTGTGGCGCGGCGTCTGCGTGTGTGTGGATCGCCAGGCACCGTGGCCTGATTGGCACGCGCAGGCGAGGGTGGACATGGATTGATACAGCGTGGACAGTATGAGTAGTAGAATTCGAAGCAGCAGCACACAAGCACGGCCGGGAGTCGGCACGCGTGAGAGGGCGTGTGCAGGCTGGGCGGCGGTGCCGATGTGGGATGGCGATGCGTGGTCGGGATAGGATGGATGGGCAGTCTGGCGAGGGTGGGCTGAGGGGCCTTGGTTTCATGGCGCTTCCAGGCACGCGGGCCTGAGTGGCCAGCATTCGCAGCCTCCGCCGCCCCGTTTCACCCGCTAGCAGCTGGTCGGACCAGGCAAAGCCAATCGTCCGCCTGGCCCCGGCGCCTCCCCCTGGTCGCTGCCGGCCAGGCCACCCCCTCGCGCGAACCTCATATCCACTGTTTCCCTCGCTCCCCCTCTGACCTCACGCTCGCCGTCCCTGCTGTCTGGCTCTCTGCCCACATTCGTTTCCACTGTTCCTCACTCGCTACGGGAACCAAAAAACACCCTCCCTGCCAACTGTTGCTTGCTTTAACTTCACCCAACCCCCGTCGCCCGTCACACCATCCCAGACCCCATTCACCCCAACCGCGCCGTTGCGACTATCAATCTCTTCAACACACTCACAACACACACCCTCGTTCATTCACGCCCGATACTGTGCAGGCCACTCCCGCCCCTCTGACACCATTGTGCATACACGACCGCTGCGAGCCCACTACCATTTGTAATGCATTTCCTGTGACCACGCTTGTCCTTCTCCCATTCCGCCAACGCCTATCGCTTCGCCTCTCGACTACGAAGCGCCCGTGGGACCACCTAGCTACACAGCAACCACATTCACAACAACACCAACCCTCACTCACGAGCACCTGGTAGTGCGCCTCAACGCTCGCTCATCGCGCAATTCCTCCCCCTTACTATCCGCCAACATGTCTCTCTCCGCTCCCGCTGCCAAGCGCCATCTCCTCTCCAACTGGAATGCCGCCCAGTTTGAGGAGCTCAAGTACTCGTATGGCCTCACTGGTGTGGACCAAGTCGGCAACTTCATGTGGGTCGACACCTTCCTCTACATGCTCGTAGGCATCTCTGGCATGCTCCTCATTCTCCGCATCTCCAACATGGTCTGGAAGCACAGCCGACACATCACCGCAATGGGAAACCCACGCCAAAAGTACTGGGAGACCAACCGAACAAGCTGGTGGCCCTGGCTAAACCGCCATATCCTCGTCGCCCCGCTCTGGAAGAAGAAGCACAACGCCCAGTTCCAGATCAGCAGCGCCATTGACAACGGAACCCTCCCTGGACGATGGCACACCATCATGCTCTTCATCTACGTCGGCCTCAACGTTGCATGGTGCCTTGCTCTCCCCTACGACGTCCTTGACTACAAGGAGACGCTCGCTGCCCTTCGCGGACGCTCTGGAACCCTCGCCGCCCTCAACCTCATCCCCACTGTCCTCTTCGCCCTCCGCAACAACCCCCTTATCCCTCTTCTCCAGGTCTCGTACGATGATTTCAACCTTTTCCACCGCTGGGCTGCCCGAATCACCATTGCCGAGGCCATTGTTCACACTGCCGCTTGGCTGTACAACACCAAGGCTGGTGGTGGATGGCACGCCGTCGTAGCTGCTCTCCACACCGAGGGCTCTTACGGATGGGGCATGGTCGGAACTGTCGCCTTCACCTTCATCGGCATCCAGGCCTGGTCACCATTCCGTCACGCCTTCTACGAGACCTTTCTCAACATCCACCGCGTCATGGTCATTGCTGCTCTCCTCGGCTTGTACAAGCACTTGGAGCTGCACACTCTCCCCCAGGTCCCATGGATGTACCTCATCTTCATCTTCTGGGCAGGCGAGTGGTTCCTCCGCCTATGCTCCATCTGTTACTACGGCTTCAGCCTCAAGCAACGCTCGTCCATCACCGTCGAGGCCATGCCTGGCGAAGCTGTCCGTCTAACCATCAACATGGTCCGCGAATGGACCCCCCGTCCCGGATGCCACGTGCACATGTGGATGCCTCGCCTCTCCCTCTGGTCCTCGCATCCATTTTCCGTCGCCTGGGCTGCGACCCTGACCGATGAATCCAAAGAGATGACGCTTCCCACTCTGGAAGGCGACGTCACCATGATCAATGGCCAACCCAGGAAATCAAAACAAATCAGTCTCATCTGCCGTGCCCGTACCGGACTCACCCGGCAAATGTACGAAAAGGCAAGCAAGAGCCCCAACGAGCAATTCACCACATGGGGCTTCATTGAAGGCCCATACGGCGGCCACCACAGCCTTGACTCGTACGGTACTTGCGTGCTGTTTGCCGGAGGTGTAGGCATCACCCACCAGGTCATGTACCTCAAGCACCTTGTCAATGGCTTCAACAACGGCACCACTGCCACCCAAAAGATTGTCCTCATCTGGACAGTACCCACACCCGACTGCTTGGAGTGGGTGCGCCCATGGATGGACGAAGTCCTCCGCATGAAGGGTCGCAAGCAGTGTCTCCGCATCAAGCTCTTCATCTCCAGACCAAAGGGTCGCGTCGAGAGCAGTAGCGACACTGTCAAGATGTACAGCGGCAGGCCTAACATGAGGAGCTTGCTGGAGGAGGAGGCCAAGCACCGCGTCGGTGCCATGGCCGTGACCGTGTGCGCGTCTGGCGGCATGGCCGACGGTGTACGACACGCAGTGCGGCCACTGCTTACCGAGGGTTCGGTTGATTTCATAGAGGAAGCCTTTACGTATTGAAGCGTTGTATTGCACGTCTAATCATGTCACATGTCGTCTTTTGAGAAACCGCTCATTACATCACTTCGCTGGCCTACTCTTACAAACGCAATCCAGGCAATCGCTTGGTTGCACCCGCACCCCTAGGCCCTCCGCTGACCCAAACTGGCGCCGCACTAGCTTGATACGCAAGGCTAGCACGACCATGGGCAAGCCAAACAACAATGCGCGCGCTCACCCTCAACATCGACACAGTCGACTGCCTGTATCTATATCAAAACACATAAACTCTTTTTTCCTTCTTCCATAACTCTTGGGTTATCTTTTTGTCCTTTTATTTTCTTTTCTTTTCTGTACATACACCTCCTTCGTAATCATTCATCCTGTTTTCTACCCACACTCACGCTGTCATGTCTCTCCTTGAATCTTTTGATCATTGTTTCATCTACAAGCGCAAAACTTGCATCATCTGGGCGTTTCTTCCTTTTTCGTTTTCTCAGTTAGTCAGTCTTTATGGCGCCCTTTTTTGCATGCAAAAGACAGGGTTGCGAAGAAGAATCTATACTAGACACCTGGATCTAATTCCAACAAAACAATCTCGTTCCACAAAAAAGCAAATCTGTCCCCCCTTGCAATCGCATTCAACAATGCGCGTCGTGCGTAGTGTATTTTTTTTTCTCCCGCAAAACATCTACAGTGTAATGTATAGTGTAAACCAATATACCTAGTGTGACAACAAAACATCGGATCCGATCGGATCGGAGTGTACACCCAAATCTATGGCAAAACCTCGGCTTGATCTCCGTCCCCTTGTTGTTAATAATACGAACAAGTTACTATAAACATCACCATCATGGAAAACCCTTGAAAGGGATTCCCCAGTCACATATGACACACCCCCGGAGCGCACGCACGCTCTAAATTCCGGCATTAATGCACACAACAAAACACCGCCTCAACAAGAGATCCGGTGTCTCTACTTTCACCGCTCGCGAATTTTAGTCACAACGGGTGAGAACGTCTGAAGCTTTCTAGCAAACTATGCAAGCCGCCCCGGTGTTTGGGCAAATCGAAAACACACCCCACTTGAACTAGCTAGGTGTAAGTTACGGGTAGTATTAGCAAAAAGGGCAAAGGCAAAGCATAGCAAAAGCACGTCAACAAAATTGCGCCCGAAGCGCCGGAACGCCGCAAAACGTGGCGGTCAGCCGTTCGTGGCGCTGCGCCCCCGATTTAGCATCCCCACTTCCGGGCGCTTGATTGGGCCATGGGGGCGCAGGCGTGGCGTTTGGCCTTGTGGCCTTCCTAGACGCTGTCTGGCTGCGAGCTTGCGAGTGATGCGACTCTCTCCACCTTTATTCGGTTTAGACCGGCCAAGAGTGGCGGTGACTGACGACGACGACGGGACCCGGTGTGGCTGTGATTGTGGGGCGCGTTTATGCGCCTCCGGACGACGTAGCCATGGTGTGCTTTCTTTGGAAGGTTTGGGCGGGTGGGGTAAAGAAGGAGGGGTTGGAATATAAGAAAGCGCTCGTCTGGCGAAGGTGACACGTGTGAGCTTTCGTTTCCTTCTTTCTATCCTATACTTACGGTTAAACAAGAGACAGATTGCATTGTCACTTTGTAAACTCTTTTTCTTACCTTTGTCCCCATTGACCAAGACAAGGTCAGACCGCATCTACGATTAAGTTTTTTTGCTTTCCCTGTGAAACCGATTCAACGGTTCCGCATACTACCACACGTTTTCATTCGTTCCGGTAACCCGGTTTTCGATTGAGGAGAAAGAAAGACTTTGGGTACGAAATCGGAGACGAGAAGTAACAAAGCAAAAAAAGAAATAAGGAAGCATGTCTGGATACGGGTACAACCAAGGTGGAGGTGGAGGATACGGACAGAATGAGTACAATGGCGGACAAGGCGGATACGGGCAACAGCCTCCTTACCAGGGAGGAGAAGCCAGTCAGTACTATGGTGGCGGTGGACAAGGAGGACCACCACCTCAAGGTTATCCCCCACAACAGGGCGGATACCCACCGCAGGGCGGATATGATGCCAATGCTCCTCCTCAGTACCAGCAGTACCCCTCTACCGCCACGCACTCGTCCAACTCCGGCCGCAACTCGCACAACCAAGGCTACCAGAACCAGTATGGCGGAGAAGGTGACCCAGAGGGTGAACGTGGTATCATGGGCGGCCTTGCTGGTGCAGCAGCAGGAGGCTACGGCGGCCACGCCCTAGGCGGCAAATCTGGTCACGGTACCGCCGGCGCCATTGTAGGAGCCCTCGCCGGTGCCTTTGCCGGCCACAAGACCCAAGACGCCGTCGGAGAGCGATGGGACGAGCACAAGGAAAAGAAGAAGGAAGAAGAAGAGCGACGCCGCTGGGAGGAAGAAGAAGAACGCCGTCGTAAATACGGCGGAGGTGCCGCTGCCGGCGCTGCCGCCGGCGCCGGCTTCGCACATCATCAATCGCACGACCAAGAGCGCTCTGCCGGCGACTTTGGCGGCAACTTCTCTGCCTCGTCCCAAGACATCCGTCTCGACGCCCACGGCGACTACGTCTTGCACGCCCAGTGCCGCCGCACCGACGGCTCAGTCCAAGCCTCGTCTATTGCGCTGAACCGCTACCTCGCCAACGACGACGGTTCCTTCCGCTGGTCCGGCTCCTCGACCGACCGCAGCTCCGGTAGCGAAAACACCTACACCGTCCAGCAAGGCGACACGCTCCGCGCTATTGCCTCGCGCTACTCGCACTGCTCCTTTGATGAGCTCGCCAGACACAACAACATTTCCAACCCCGATCAAATCTGGCCAGGCCAGAACTTGAGGATTCCAACCGGAGGCGGTGGCGGTGGTAGCTCTGGTGGCTTTGCGTCGTCGGCAAGGAATGTGAGGTTGGTTGGTGGCGGGCAGAGGCTCGAGGCTGAGCTCGAGAGTCGTGGGGAGTGGAGGCGTAGGGAGATTAATCTTGATGAGAGGATTAGTAACCGGGATGGGTGTTTGGTGTTTGTTTAGGTACATTCACCAAATATTCGTGGATTACAAGTCTCATAGAGAGATGGATGGATGAGAGGGGTTAGGGAAGACAAAAAGGTTGATGTTGTCTAGGAAGCTTTATGAATATCATGCATATGTTAAATTGTTGATTACTTCTTCAATACCCCTTCCCTTTACTTGCTCACTTCATCGGCATCCATATACAGGACTGTGTAATCCATCTAGCACTTCTTCATCCTAAACTCTCCCCCGCCTAATCCTTACAACTCATACCCCGCACAACCTCCGTATCCACCATCAAGCTCAACTTCACTAACCCCGTAATCATAGCGCTGTCTTGGGTATAATCCAGAAAGGCCCAGGGACTACTTCGTTCTGCCAAATTGAATCATACGGGCATCGTAGCAGCATAGTCGTTGGCAGAATTCCTTCCCATCGACCTCGCTCATCGCACTCCATCTTTCCTTCTAACTACTCGCCACATTCCTTTTCTCGCTGCCCAGAAACTAACCTCGGCCGCGCAGTATTCGCAGCATCGCCATTGGCCTTCTGCTCCGCATTGAACAATTGCACCGTAAGCGCTTGCTGGGGGTGCTTGAGCGCGGGTTTGCTGAGGAAGGATGTCAAGTTCCCCGAGAGGAGTTTTGAGCGGGATCCGCTTGTTGCTGCGGGGATTGTGTTTGATGAGTTCATGGTGTTATAATTTTTTTTCCCATGCGTTGGAGAGATAGGTATATATGCAGTAAGATGTGGAATCAATGGGTCATGAAGTTTATGATTAGTGTAGTGTACAGCAGGTTGTTGGAATAGACATATACATAAATAGCAAGAAGTGAAGAGAAAAGAAAGGTCATCTGCGCCTACATCTTGCACAGATCCCGGACTTGTCTTGCATCCCAAACATCATTGTGGAGAAGAAGTTGCGTAGGCCATGCAACTTTTCGGCCTTGTTAACGGGGGGTTCTCATGTTAGGGTTTTACTTTTCCGTGTCGTGGTATGACGTATAACCAACCTACCGCATTAGGCAAGAACAAAAAGTGAGCATCGAACACTGTCTCGCACTTGACCGTTGAGATGCAACAAGGTCCTGGAAATTAGCCTTGGCAGCATCATCCCGGACAGTCGAGCTCGTCGGTGCCAAAAAAGGAAATGCAGGGACGGAATGAGTTTAGCGGAGCAACCGCTCTTCCGGGCTATATTGGGGTTATAGTCCGGGATGTCACCTATGTGGCCGATGGACAGCCGAATGATGTCTCCATGTTGCACATCACGCATAGCATAGCGAGCTGATCTCCATATATGTTCACTTTGAACACACACACAGAGAGAGAGCGTCTAGTCGATCATCGTACCTCTCTTTAAACGACAGCCCATTCCTAACGATACTACTTACTAACATTTAATTACCAAATACGACAACCCCGACCCTTTTTTTCCTTTCTTCTCAGGAGTAGAATGTCACCACAGCCACGATCTGGGCGACCAGTCTGACCGTCTAAAAAAAAAGGGGGGGGCGGCACCAAGGGCTACGAACACGCGTCTCCCATAAAGCAAACCACCGAGATAAACACACACAAACACATGCGCGCGCGCTCGCGAATGATAAACGCCCTGGTTCAATAAACTCTTTTTTTTCGTTGATAGCCTTGTTGCCAAGACGATCGCAATGATAGAGTAAGCATTACTGTACCTGATAATCCCCCCCTCCCTCCCTCCCTTTTTTTGTAAACCCCGGATTTCCCGAAGAAAAACAAGGTCTCTTGCCAGTTCTTTAATTATGAAATGACTCCCGGATATTTGTTTTCGTCCGGTCAAAGGGGTACAAAAAGTGGTCACCTCGCGACTGTGAGTGGGTACAAAGGGGAAAAAAAGGGCATGTTGGTCAATACGGAGGTGCCTTTCAAAAGTATTGTCTGACGCTAATCTCGGCGCTTCGGTGCAACTCTTCTTGGCGCAACTCCCACCTTTGAGCTGAGGGGCTGTCTAATCAGTCTACCTACTACTACGTAGCTATCTTTTTTACTATGGCTCCTTATACTGATGTATATACCCGTACCTTAGTAATCGCGTTAAAGTCACCTCCTATTGGCAAAAATACGTCACAAGTCTCTG